GCTAATTATAAAACTTCTATGACAAAGAATCGAGAATAACCAAAGCAATCTTGAAAAAGAACAAAAGGGAAGGATTTACTAGTTTAAAGACTTACTAGAAACAACTGTATATCCATGTTGAAAAAAACTAAACCTCATTCTGTTCACAAAAATTGATTTGAGACGGATCATAGACCTAAATATAAAATCCTAAACCATAAAACTTCTAGAAGAAAATATGTTCTTTGTGACTTAGAGGTCATAAACACATAAAATAAAAAACTGATAAAGTCGATTTTATCAAAAAAATTTGTTCATAAAAAGATCCCAATAAGTGAATACACAGAGTCGTTAAAAAAAATCATAGCATATCTATCCATCAAAGGATTTATACCCAGAATACAAAGAATACCTACAATAAAAAGACTCCCAACTTTAAAATCAGAAAAGACATGAAAGACACTCCATGAAAGATATACAAGTGAAAAATAAGCATATGAAAAAGTGCTCAACATCATTAATGATCAGGGAAATGTAAATTAAAATCAATTATTTCATATGTGCTAAAATGGCTAATATAAAAAACACTGACAATGTAAATGTTGACAGACATGTAAAGCAACTGCAACTCTCATACATCACTGATGGGAGTACAAAATGGTGAAACCACTTTGGAGAACAAGAGGGCAGTTTCTTTTTTTTTTTTTTTTAATTATTATTATACTTTAAGTTCTAGGGTACATGTGCATAAGTTCTAGGGTACACGTGCAGGTTTGTTACATATGTATACCTGTACCATGTTGGCGTGCTGCACCCATCAACTCGTCAGCACCCATCAACTCGTCATTTACATCAGGTATAACTCCCAATGCAATCCCTCCCCACTCCCCCCTCCCCATGATAGGCCCCGGTGTGTGATGTTCCCCATCCCGAGTCCAAGTGATTTCATTGTTCAGTTCCCACCTATGAGTGAGAACATGCGGTGTTTGGTTTTCTGTTCTTGTGATAGTTTGCTGAGAATGATGGTTTCCAGCTGCATCCATATCCCTACAAAGGATACAAACTCATCCTTTTTTATGGCTGCATAGTATTCCATGGTGTATATGTGCCACATTTTCTTAATCCAGTCTGTCATTGGTGGACATTTGGGTTGATTCCAAGTCTTTGCTATTGTGAATAGTGCCGCAATAAACATACGTGTGCATGTGTCTTTATAGCAGCATGATTTATAATCCTTTGGGTATATACCCAGTAATGGGATGGCTGGGTCATATGGTACTTCTAGTTCTAGATCCTTGAGGAATCACCATACTGTTTTCCATAATGGTTGAACTAGTTTACAATCCCACCAACAGTGTAAAAGTGTTCCTATTTCTCCACATCCTCTCCAGCACCTGTTGTTTCCTGACTTTTGAATGATTGCCATTCTAACTGGTGTGAGATGGTATCTCATTGTGGTTTTGATTTGCATTTCTCTGATGGCCAGTGATGATGAGCATTTTTTCATGTGTCTGTTGGCTGTATGAATGTCTTCTTTTGAGAAATGTCTGTTCATATCCTTTGCCCACTTTTTGATGGGGTTGTTTGTTTTTTTCTTGTAAATTTGTTTGAGTTCTTTGTAGGTTCTGGATATTAGCCCTTTGTCAGATGAGTAGATTGCAAGAATTTTCTCCCATTCTGTAGGTTGCCTGTTCACTCTGATGGTAGTTTCTTTTGCTGTGCAGAAGCTCTTTAGTTTAATGAGATCCCATTTGTCAATTTTGGCTTTTGTTGCTGTTGCTTTTGGTGTTTTAGACATGAAGTCCTTGAAGAGGACAGTTTCTAATAAACATGCACTTACCGTATGACCCAGTAATTTTCTACTGTTATTTATCCAAGAGAGATGAAAACATATATCCACAAAAAAACAAAAACAAAAGTCTGTGTAAGAACATCGATAGCATCCTTATTCATAACTGCCCCAAACTGGAAACCTAAAAGTCCTTCACTAGGAAAATGAATAAACAAATTGTGGTATATTTACAGAATGAAATACTACTCAGCAATAAAGAGTAATCCTGAAACATACAATATGGATGTCTTTAAAGCATTATCAGTGAAAGAAGCCAGATGCAAAAGAGTACATTATAATATGATGCCATTTATATATAATCCAAAAGCAGGTAAAGCAAATCTTTAGTGATAAAAATTAGGAAGTGATCACTGGAGTAGGGAGGTGCTCAGGGGTGATTTAAATGTACTTGAGAACTTTCTGGGTGAATTTTAATGTTTTATATCTTCTATTGGCAGTTATTACACAGACGTATACAATTGTCAAAACATCAAACTTAACACTTAAAATGTGTGCGTTTTTTAATAATAGTAATTTCTATATATCAATTTAAAATAAAGGTGAGTAGTGGATTCCTATTCCAGGAGTGTTTGTCTCCGATTCTTCACTGGCCTGTTATCTGTTTGCTTCAGTGAGATTTTTGGGCTCCAATCTATTCAGGGCCAGGCCCTTGATTATGGAATTTATCTTGAAGGGCACAGAATCCAGTGTCCCAGAGACAGCATTTAGAATCTGTGAAGCAATTTTGTGGAAACAACAGTCATTTATTTCCATTGGTTAGTGAGCAACCACTTGAGCATTGTAAGGCACAGACTTGTACACGGACTTCCGTAAAAGTACAGCACTTAACCTACTTTGTTGCAAGCTAGTCAAAATGTAGTAAAAATTAATTATTCAAAGGCATGCAGAACACTATCACCTTTCATTAATCCCATTCTCTAGCATTTACTGCCCTGATCTTTACAACACTCCAAATTAGTACTAGGATTTTTGGATACAAAATCATTTCCTATCCACAGCAGACATCTTTTCCAAAGCAGGTAGACACTCAGATCATTCTTCCTTATTAGAAAACTCTTTAGTGTTTTCCCTAGCTAAATAGAAAAAAAACTACAACTCTGGGTATATGGTAGGAATTTATTAACAAGCAAACAACTTTGTTCATACCAGGAAGACCAGCAATTAGATTATAAATGACTTCAGAGCAAGTGCAAGAACTTAACAATTTTAGATCATTCCATGAGAATGTCTATTTGCCCAAGAAGGCCCACAAGAAGTGCCCTACAAATGCTGGTTATTATTTTACGCTGTACTTCCTCTGAGAAAATGATGTGATGTACAGAGGTGGGAGTACACATAGCAAGGAAGTCTCTCTGTAAAACGAAGCTGGGAAATTCAAGTAATGGTGTTTTTGGATAAGATGCCTAAGAAAACTTAGGACAAAATCCTGCTGTGCGTGTGTTTGCTCAGTCCTCAGGAATCCCACTTGGCCAACTGACTCCAGAGAGCTACAGCCTCACTGCACAAGCCTCAGATTCATAATTCTAAGTACAGCCATTTAATGTGTACTGAACTGGCTTAAAGGGCACTACTCTGTTGTTATACAGAAACAAATTTTAGCTATCAGAAGGAACTCTGAAATCTATAGAAACATTTTCAGCCTAAAAAGCTTTCTGGGGAATAAACTGTCTACTATAGATAGTTGGTTTTGTATTTCTTCTTCTTTCTTCTTTCCTCTTCCTCTTTCTCTTTCTTCTTTCCTCTTTCCTCCTTCCTCCTTCTCCTTCTCCTTCTTCTCCTTTTCTTTTTTGACAGTCTCACTCTGTCTCTCAGGCTGAAGGGCGGTGGCGTGATCTCGGCTCATTGCAACTTCCACCTCCCGGGTTCAAGAGATTCTCCTGCCTCAGCCTCCTGAGTAGCTGGGATTACAAGCATGCACCACTATGCCTGGCTAATTTTTGTATTTTTAATAGAGATGGGGTTTCATTGTGTTGGCCAGGCTGGTCTCAAACTCCTGACCTTATGATCCACCCGCCTTGGTCTCTCAAAGTGCTGCGATTACAAGGCGTGAGCCACCATGCCCGGCCTGGTTTTATATTTCTATAATCACCCTCCAAATTCTCATTCTGAAAGAAACTTGAATACTCCATGGATAAAGGCAGGTGACTTGGAGTAAATTACACCTTTAAACTGGTGTAATCAGTGAAGAGGGTTTCGCAGGTGCCAAATAAGACATAAACGGTTACTGAGGAAATATTAAGTATATAAAGCTAATGTCAACTGGGCATGGTGGCTTGCACCTATAGTCCCAGGTACTCAGGAGGCTGTGGCAGGAAGATGGTTTGAGTCCTGGAGTTCACAGCAGTAGTGCACCCTAATTGTGCCTGTGAATAGCCATTATACTCCAAATGGGCAACATAGTGAGACCCCCACCTCTAAAAAAAATAGTAATTTTTTGAAAAGCCAATGTCGTCAATCAAAGTAAGTAAGGTTGGACTTCTGGAAAGGGTTTAGAAATGCAGGGCTGGCTTGCTGAACTCATTAAAATGCTAGGGTGGCTCTCAAATATGAGGCGAAAGAATGAATACTTTGAGTACTTCTGAACAGTGTATCTGAGGTCACCAACAAAAGAGGCATCTGTTTTGAAGAGATGAGCCAAGATAAGAATTAAGTTTCCAGGGCAATCTTAGGTTGGAAGTCCCCTAATCAGTCTATATATATCATTTTAGCAGGTGCTTTTGGTGACTGAGAAGCAGATACAGTGTGGTGAAAATAATATACTGGTCAAACAGAAGAGCTGGCTCTGATCTTAACTGGTTGAGTGACCTTGGGAATTCCACTGAGTCTATGCAGAATCAAGGTTGAGAGCTTCAGACAAACCAACAGACCTTTTGTTCACTGCTGTACCGCCAGTGCCCGGCACTGTGGGTGGTGACCAATAAAACCTAGGTTTGTAACTTTATTCTGCCACTTACTAACAGGATGACCTCGGGGAAACTACCCATCTTCTTTGAGCTTCTATTTTCTTATTTATAAAATGAAAATAGTAACTACATCCTAAGATTGAGATGGAAGAGCCAGGAGCAGTGGCACATACCTATGATCCCAGCTACTCAGGAGGCTGAGGCAGAAGGGTTGAGCCCAGGAGTTCAAGTTCAGCCTGGGCAAAATAGCAAGATTGTCTCTTAAAAAAATAAAAAATAAAAATGAACAAGATGGAAACAAAGCATTTGGTAAAGACTAAATAGCCACAATTATCTATCATATACCAATTCATTACATATATTTTAAAAATTAAAATTTCAGGGCATTTCAGTTTTGTCCGACAATTTCCATGATGTGAAGCCAGCTAACTCTGATCTCCAAGATCTCCTTCCTGATTGAGTAAGCTCTCAACACCCATGTTTGTATTGATGATCATGCCCCATGAATCTGATTGGTTCTCTCTACATGGATCTGGAACAGTTAACATGTTAACATGTAATACCTGGAGCTATGGGGTAACTGACAGGAAAAGCAGCAGTAAGAGCTGTAAGAGAATGATGTACAGATGGCAGACAATACCACTTTAGGGGTCCAAAATGGTTTTCTAGTTCCCAGTCCAATCTCATCCTGCCTTTGGGAGTCTCTTAGACAGCTCTGTATCCTTATCTTTTGCCCAAGTTAGCACTGGTGTGCTTATTATTGTAACTAGGCTTTGTTTTCACATGTTCTTTGATCCTCACAATATTCCTATGTAACAGACAAGAGCATAATAGAATGAACATATGGAATCAGACAAGCATGGCCCTGTTAGACACTCAATGTGTAACTTTTGAGTAAGTTAGTAGTGTATGAGTGTCTTTCCTCACAAAATAGGGTAACAACGCCCATTTTGCTTTAGGGCTGCTTTGGAAGATACAGACAAAAGTAAGGCATCTGGCAAAAAGCACTCAACAAATTACAGTGTCTATTAGTATTCCCATTTTACAAAAGGGAAAACTATGGCTGATAAATATCAATATTCTTACTACTATACCACACTTGAAATAAAAAATACAAGATTATCAAGTGAGAAACTTGTGAACTCTAAGTGCTTGATTAAACTGTGAGTCCACTTACATGTGGATTTTTTTCAATAAACACATTGAAATTTTTTTGGAGGTTTGCAACAATTTGAAAACACTTGCAGACAAACCAACATTAAGAAAAAGAGTTGTCATGAATGCATAAAACATATGTAGTCTGTTATCATTTACTACCATAAAATATACATAAATCTATTAATAAAGAGTACAGAGTTGTCAAAACTTATGCACACAAACTCTTACAGAATGTATATGGTACCATTCACAGTTGAGAGAAATGTAAACAAATGTAAAGATCAAGCCTCTGGAAAGGACTGTCAATGCTATCGAAGAGAACCCCGACAGAACATCATGGAAGTCTGGAAGGAGTGCACCACTGAAGACGTCATTGTTGTTATAGAAAAAATCATGGTATCATCAAGCCTGAAACAAGAAACTCTTGGTAGAGAAAACTGTGTCCAGATGTAGCACATGACTTCACAGGATCTATAACAGAGCCCATCAAGGAAATCATGAAAGAGATTGTGGAGATGGCAAAAAAAAAAAAAGGTGGGAGGTGAAGGGTTAGCTAACAGACACCACACCAGAGGAATTAAAAGACCACTTGATGGAGATGAGCTGCTTCCAAACTAGTGCCAGATGATGAGGAAGAAGATGCTAAAAAAGCAGTGCCAGAAAATGAATTGACATTAGACAATCTGGCAGAAGGGTTCTGATTACTTAAGACTGCTTTGGACTTCTTTTATAAATGGACCCTTCTATTATACCAGCACTGAAACTAAAGCAAATGGAAGGAGGATTGTTACTATACAGAAACATTTTTAGAGAAACGAAAACGCAAAACAGATTATCAGGTTTTTCTGTAAAGTCACACCAAGTGTGCCTGCATCTCCTGAATCCCGTTCTATCTCCTCTACCTCTGCCACCCGAGACAGCAAAACCAAGCTTGCCTGTATTTTCTTCCTCAGCCTACTCAACATGAAGACCTTTATGATTATCCACTTTTTTTTTGAGATGGAGTATTACTCTGTCACCCGGGCTAGAGTGCAATGGCATGATCTCAGCTCACTGCAACTTTTGCCTCCCGTGTTCAAGCGATCCTTCTACCTCAGCTTCCCAAGTACCTGGGATTACAGGCGCCTCCTACCACGCCCGGGTAATTTTTGCATTTTTAGTAGAGATGGGGGTTTCGCCATGTTGGCCAGGCTGGTCTCGAACTCCCGACCTCAAGCGATCTGCCTGCCTTGGCCTCCCAAAGTGCTGGGATTACAGGTGTGAGCCACGGGAACCAGCTGATCCACTTCTACTTAATGAAAAGTAAGCACATTTTCTCTTCTTCACAATTTTTAAAAATATTTCCTAGCGTACTTCATTGTTAAGAACACAGTATAGGTCAGCCATGGTGGCTCATGCCTGTAATCCCAGCACTTTGGGAGGCCGAGGTGGGTGGATTACCTGAGATCAGGAGTTAGAGACCAGCCTGGCCAACGTGGTGAAATCCCGTCTCTACTAAAAACACAAACAAATTAGCCAGGCGTGGTGGCACATGCCTGTAATCCCAGCTACTTGGGAGGCTGAGGTAAGAGAATCGCTTGAACCTGGGAGGTAGAGATTGCAGTGAGCTGAGACCGTGCCACTGCACTCCAGCCTGAGCAACAAGAACGAAGCTCCACGTCAAACAAAAAACAAAACAAAACAAAAAAACCACACAGTATAATAAAACATGTAACCTACAAAATATGTTTGACTATTTATGATATTGGTAAGGCTTCTGGTCAACAAGAGGCTATAAAAACAGGTAAGTTTTGGGAAAATCAAAAGTAGTATGTGGATTTTCCATTGTGGGGGTAGGGTGGGTTAGTGTCCTAACCTCTGCATTGTTCAAGAGTCAACTGTAATGGTATTACAGTTATGTAAAAAGAGTCTGTCTTTAGAGATATATAAAGTATATTGTTATCAAAGAAACAATGTATCTAGTTTAGGTTTGTTTTGTTTCATTACATTGTAAAAATTATTCATATAAGGCCTCTACCATTATACACAAATCTCTAGAGGGAATGGACTTTTTAAAAGGTAAAGTATTTCCAGTACCTGATTTGCAGAAAACTATTAATAAATGCTACTAAATGCGACCACTATCCAAAGGGTTCTTAACACACATACGTTATTTCTTTTCCTTTATCCTTGCCTCCTCTTTCTCTCCCATGTTTTAAAGCCTACATAATAGGTACTACTTGGCCCTATGGTTGTTCCCTTGCTTAGAAATACTAATTCTGAGCTACATAATTAGCTAACCACATGATCCAGTATTATACAACAATGAAACACTTCAAAAAACCAACACAAGTTAGGCGCAGTGGTGCACACCTCAAGTTGCCTCTAGTTCCAGCTAACGGGGAGGTTGAGGCAGGAGGACCACTTGGGTCCAGGAGTTCAAGGCTACAGTGAGCTATGATCATGCCACTGCTCTCCAGGCTGAGTTACAGAGTGAGACCTTCATCTCAAGGGAAAAAACAAAACAAAACCACAGCCATGTTGTTTCAAGAGAGTCAGGTAGGTATCAAAACAATGCTGATGAACAGGAAAATTGTGCCAATCTGAAAATATGTGGAAAATCTGCTTGGCATTTTATCTTCCCCTAAAGTACTGATATTTTCAAGCCTGTCAAATTCCCCAAATGAAATGAAAACCCTCACTTACCGTATTGACATGTATGAGGCTATGGAACTTGATTTAATCTGAGAATCCTGAAACTGCTTCTCACTAAAATTCAACATGAAAAAAAAAAAGAAAACCCATACCAACACTGCTAATAAAACTTTTTTTTTCTTTTTTTGAGACAGGATCTTGCTCTGTTGCTTGGATTAGAATGCAGTGGCACAACCATGGCTCACTGAAGTCTTAACTTCCCAGACTCAAGCGATCCTCTCACCTCAGCCGGCATGCACTACCATGCCTGGCTGATTAAAAAAAAAATTTTTTTTTTTTTGTAGAGACAGGGTCTCAGTTGTTGCCCAATCTGATCTCAAACTCCTGCACTCAATCCTCTTGCCTCAGCATCCCAAAGTGCTAGGATTGCAGGCGTGAGCCACCGAGCCTGAGCAAGACAAATTCTCCAATCAAATGTCAGAATCTGGAATGAGAAATGCAATCGGTGACCTGAAAACAGTTTGGGGAGTGGGGAAAAGCCTACAAACTTGACTGCTTAACAGAGGTATGCGAACTCTGGCCTGCATGAAAAATCCAGATTCCACCTGTCTGTAAATAAAACTGTTTTGTTTCTTTGTTGTTTTTGTTGAGATAGGGTCTCTGTCATCCAGGCTGAAGAGTGGTGGTGTGATCATGGCTCACTGCAGCCTGGAACTCCTGAGCTCAAGCAATCCTCCCACCTCAGCTCCCAAGTAGCTGAGACTATAAGCACATACCAACATGCTTATGTGCTGATAGTCTCAGCTACTTTAAGCTATTTTAAATGGCTAATTTAAAACCCTTTTTTTTTTTTTTTTTGGTAGAGATGGGGGGATCTCACTATGTTGCTCAGGCTGGTCTTGAACTCCCAGCCTCAAGTGATCCTTGGCCTTGGCCTCCCAAAGCACTAAGATTACAGGTTTGAGCCATCATTCCCAGCTAGTAAATAAAATTTACTCAGAACAGTTACACCTATTTATTTAAGTCTATGACTGCTTCAGGATTATAAGGGCAGAGGTAGAGTTGAGCAGTCACAACAGAGATTATATAGTACGCAAAGCTAAAAATATATCCCATCTGATTCTTCACAGAAAAAGTTTGCTGACCCTAGTCTAGAGGACAAGAAGATTCAAATATCCACCGCTGTCGGCACTGTGGTACAATATAATGAATCAACAATTTTCTATAACACAGGTACATCTTTTGCAGGGCAGTCAAGGCACCATCGAGGATCTTTTGAAAATACATCAAACTTCTAGTAATTTTTCAGACTATGACTCCCAGTAAATGCTAGGCCAGAGCTTGGGAGTAGGGAAAGATGAGGAGGCCAGATAGGCTTGCAATGGTGTGATCCTTTCAGGGAGGCGTGGCTTCCAATCAGTTAATCAATCAATCAATCAATGGAGTGATAGGAAATATTTCCTTGTACTCCCACAGTTATAGAAGATTCTAGTTTAGTCCAACAGATGTGAAATAGAAAAATAATCTATTTTAGTGACGAGAATCTAAACCTTAGACTCTGGCTCAAAAGCTATGCACATAACCCACCCTCCCTATAGATCTCAGAAAGGGATTCTACCGGCATCCAAATAAAGACCTGGTGAGGTCAAGGATAACCCATATATATTTTCTTTGTTGATAAACAGCACATCTGGCTAGATAACTACATCAGGTTAATGGAGGAAAAAAAAGGTGATAAGAACATATATCCATAATACATTTTAGGCAAATCAAATAATGCATCATAAAAATTAATGTTGGAAATATAGAAATATATACAAAGTGGGATATGACTTAAGGGACATCATTTAAGAAAGAAAAGAAAATTGGTGGGGGAACAAGTTATCTCATGACATTTAACAGTACAGTAACAACACATTTTTAAAACCCCAACAATAGTATCTACCAAATTAACATTTACTTGCATTTCACTGATTTTGTGGCTCTCTTGGTTTGGTTGTAGAGTTGTGCAAGAGCATAAGAGTTTACAGCTGGTTTTTGTTTAGATACATATTTAAATAATATTATAATGAATATAATTTAAGCCAATATTGGAATTTGTAGGGATTTTTTTTCTCCTTTAAATAGACCCAAACATTGTGAAGATCTGTGAAACATCATTTATAGTTACAAAATGTAATTTCCCAGTCATTTTATTATTTATTTATTTATTTAGAGACGGAGTCTCACTCTGGAGTACAGTGGCGAAATCTCGGCTTGCTGCAACCTCCACCTCCTGGGTTCAAGTGATTCTCTTGCCTCAGCCTCTTGAGTAGCTGAGATTACAAGTGCAAGCCACCATGCCTAGTTAGTTTTTGTATTTTTAGTAGAGACAGGGTTTCACCATGTTGGCCAGGCTGGTCTCAAACTCCTGACCTCTGGTGATCCGCCTCCTCGGACTCCCAAAGTGCGGGGATTACAGGTGTGAGCCACCATGTGGGGCCAAATTTCCCAGTCTTTTTAAAAAGGGAGAGACAAAACTTTCACTTCTAACAATACGACAGACTAGGTTACATATATATTCATTTCTATATATGATATTTTTATTAGAAATACATTTTGAAGATATGTTAACAAGTAAAACAGTAAGAAACAGATGCAAACCATGTTTTAGATTGTATCCTAGCTAGGAAAACCATTTGAAAAGAATATTTCTGGGACAACTTGGGAATTTCAATATGGAATGGGTGAATGCAGGAACTCTTAAATTCCAGGGTTCTACAATTACGATAAAATCACCAGACTGAAAGGAATGAAAAGTGCTTTAGAATCTAATCCACACCTAGTGTTCAGATCCCTTCTATAGTAGTGGGTTATTTCCCTGTCTAGCAATAGGGAATTTCTCAGCTCCTGAGACACTCCATTCCAAATCAGCTCACCTATAATCATTAGAGCTTCTTGATGAACAAAAATGTTTAAAAAAAGGTTGCAGTGAACTGAGATCATGCCACTACACTCCAACCTGGGTGACAGAGCAAGACACTGTCTCAAAGAAAAAATTATTCTCTAATGAATATGAACATACAGTGTGCATTCTTAGTCAACTATTATCCTGTAATACATATACTTACCTCCTGTGCATCTGTTGCTGCCTTTGCATCATCCTCATCATAGCGGTTACAGTTGTACCTTCAAGTAAACAAAGAGGATTCCATAAAGAAAAAAATCAATGAAAAGAAAAAAAATCACAGAATTTTAACCTGAATTTACAGGTTAACACCAACATTGTGTTTTATAACAGGGAAACTGAGATGTTAAAACACCCAGGGTTCTAATGCTATAATGACAGAATTATCAGGCTGAAAGGATAATTGTAACCTATATCTAGTGTTTGAATCCTCTCTGTAATAAATTAGTTCTCTATCCAGTGATAGGAAATTCCCCACCTCCTGAGGCAGTCCATTTCAGATCAGCTCACATATCATTATTGGAAAACACTGTCCTCCTAGAACTTTTATTGACTATTGTCTGAATTCCTAACTCAAGTTTTTGAGAAAGAGATAATCTTATCTCTTAGGCCATCTGTTATTTAGGCCAAATATTTCCTTTTTTTTTTTTTTTGAGGCAGAGTCTCGCTCTGTCGCCCAGGCTGGAGTGCAGAGGCGCGATCTCAGCTCACTGCAAGCTCTGCCTCACAGGTTCACGCCATTCTCCTGCCTCAGCCTCCCGAGTAGCTGGGACTACAGGCGCCTGCCACCACGCCCGGCTAGTTTTTTTGTATTTTTTAGTAGAGATGAGGTTTCACCGTGTTAGCCAGGATGGTCTCGATCTCCTGACCTCATGATCCACCCACCTCGGCCTCCCAAAGTGCTGGGATTACAGGCTTGAGCCACCCCGCCTGACCTAGGCCAAATATTTCTAATTTTCCAGGATTATTCACCTTATTTGCTCTTTCATAAACCACAGAAAACCAACAGTTGACAACCTACCATGTAATAGACACTGTGCTATGTGCTTTGCTATTACAGTTTTTCAGAGTCTTTTAAAAGTGCATAATATACAAAATGGTGGGAAGCAGAAACGGGAGCCTACATTATGGGAGCAGCTATTTCTTGAATGCTTACTACATACCATGCTCTTGGCTAAGGACTTTAAATGTACTAACACATTTAATCCCTTAAACATTTTATGAAATATGCATTATTTTCTTCATTGAGAAGAAGAAGAATAAACTTTAGAGAGGATGGGTAGCATACTTAAGGTCGCATAACTACAGAGTTTCAGAGCTTAAACTTTTGCCTGTCTCCCAATGGAGGCTTATGCCCTTAACCAGTGAGAAAACTGCTCATATGCTGTGTAAGATTCTTTTTTTTTTTTAAGACAGAGTTTCGCTCTTGTTGCCCAGGCTGGAGTGCAATGGGGTGATCTTGGCTCACCGCAACCTCCACCTCCTGGGTTCAAGCGATTCTCCTGCCTCAGCCTCCCGAGTAGCTGGGATTACAGGCATGCATCACCACGTCTGGCTATTTTTGTACTTTTTATAGAGACAGGGTTTCTCCATGTTGCTCAGGCTAGTCTCAAACTCCCCACCTCAGGTGATCCACCCGCCTCAGCCTCACAAAGTGCTGGGATTACAGGTGTGAGCCACCACACCTGGCCCAAGATTCTTATATTAGTTCAAGTAAGTCATCAATAAAATGAGGAAAGCTATATATATATATATATATATTTATATAGAGAGAGAGAGCACGCAATATATATATTTTTAAAGAAAAAATACGACAAAGCCTTTTAGCAAGGCTTTAAAGCATTCCACAATGTCTAATGATGTGCAGGGTAAAACCACCTGCAGGTTGGGTTTTGCCAACAGCATGTGAGTTTTCAATTTTGGTCTAGAGAGGCACACTTGATAATACAGTTATTCTCTGAAAAAGTCATGTATCTTCACAACATTCTGCCTTTGCTCATGTCGCAACTTTGGCCCTAAATATTTTTTCTACTACTATATTGAAGGAACACACCTCAAAATAATAAGAGCCATCTATGACAAATCCTCAGCCAATATCATACTGAATGGACAAAAAACTGGAAGCATTCCCTTCGAGAACTGGAACAAGACAAGGATGCCCACTCTTATCACTCATATTTAACATAGTATTGGAAGTGCTAGCCAGAGCAATCAGGCAAGAGAAAGAAAAGGCATCCAAATAGGAAAAGAGGAAGTCAAATTACATCTCTTCACTGACAATGTAATTTATAGCTGGGAAACCCTAAAGATTCGGCTAAAAGACTCCTAGACCTAATAAACGACTTCAGCAAAGTCTCGGGATAAAAAAATGCACAAAAATCAGTAGCATTTCTATACACCAATAATCTTCAAGCTGAGAATCAAATCAAGAACACAATCCCATTTACAATAGCCACACACACTCAAAGTACCTGGGCATACATCTAACGAAGGAGGTGAAAGATCTCTACAAGGAGAAGGAAATCATAGACTACACAAATGGAAAAGCATTCTATGATCACGGATAGGAAGATTCAATATCATTAAAATGTCATACTACACAAAGCAATCTACAAATTACCAATATCATTTTTTTTTTGCAGAATTAGAGAAAAACTATTCTAAAATTTATATGGAACCCAAAAAGAGCCTGAATAGCCAAGGCAATCGTAAACCAAAAGAATAAAGCCAGAGGCATTACATCTTCTGACTGCAACCTATACTAAACTAAACTAAAGAACTAAAAGTAGAATTACCATTCAAACAAGCAATCCCATCACTGAGTATATAACCAAAGGAAAATAAATCCTTCTGTCTGCACTGGTACATTCATTGTAGCACTTTTCACAATAGCAAAGGCATGGAATCAACACAGGTGCCCATCAATGGTGAATCATATAAAGAAAATGCAGTGTATGTATACCATGGAATACTATGCAGCCATAAAAAACGAAACTATGTTATTTTTGAGAACAAGTATACAACTGGAGGTCATTATTCTAAGCAATTTAACACAGAAACAGAAAACCAAATACTGAATGTTCACACTTGTAAGTGGGAGCTAAACATTAGGTATACATAGACACAAAGATGGAAACAATAAACACTGGAGATACCAAAAGGAGAGAGGGAGGGGAACATGCAAAGGTTGAACAACTACCTGTTGGGTACTGTGTTCACTAATCAGATGATGGAATCATTAGAAGCCTAAATCTCAGCATCACGTAATATACCCAAGTAACAAATCTTCACATATAATCCCTGAATCTGAAATTCAAATAAATGAAATAAATGGTATTGGGAAAACTGAGTATCCACATATGAAGGAACAAAATTGAAGTCTTATTCCATAAATAAAAATCAATTCAAAGTGAATTGAAGTCTTAAACACAAGACCTGAAACCATAAAATTCCTAGAAGAAAACATGGGAAATTTCCTTGACTTTGACCTTGCCAGTGGTTTTTTGGATATGACTCCCAAAACACAGGTAACAAAAGTAAAAATAGACAAATGGGTTCAACCAAACTACAAAGTTTCTGTACATCAAGGAAACAATCAACAAAAAATTGGAACCTATGAATTGGTAGAAAATATGAGCACACCACGTATCACATAAGGGGTTAATATTTAAAATAATAAGAAACTTAATAGCAAAAAAAAGGTGCATTAAAAATGACCAAAGCACCTGAATAAACATTTTTTCAAAGAAGACACACAAATGTTCAATAGATATATGAAAAGATACTCAACATCACCAATCACCAGATAAATGCAAATCAAAACCACAATGAGATATCATCTCATACCTGTTAGGATGTCTATTATAGGAAAGATAAAAGATAGCAAGTGTTGGTGAGGATGTGGAAAAAAAGGAATCCTTGTACCCTGTTGGTTTGAATGTATATTGGTATAGCCATATGGAAAACAACATGAAGTTTTCTCAAAAAATTAAACATCGAACTTTCATGTGATCCAGCAACTTCTCTAGTGTATACTCAAAGGAAATGAAATCAGTATCTTGAAGAAATATTTCCACTCTTATTTATTGCAGCATTATTCACAATAACCTAGATAAGAAACAACCTAAATGTGCATCAATCAATGAATGGATAAATTGTGATGTGTAAATATATGTATGAATATATATATACACAGTACGCATATATTCCATTATATATTATGTAATAATATACATAATTATGTATAAATCTAAAAGAGTTGAATACATAGAAGCAGAGGATAGAATGATGGTTACCGGGGCAGAGAAGTGGGGGGAAATGGGGAAATATCAGGCAAGAGTTATAAAGTTGAATTTGTATAGGATGAATAACTCTAGAGATCTAATGTACAGCATCATGACTATAGTTGATAATACTGTACTGTATACTGGAAATTTCCTGAGAATAGATTTCAGGTGCTCCCCACACACAGACACACACACACATGCACACACACACATGCACACACACACAAAGGTTACTGTGAGGAGATGGATATGTTTTTCACTTTACTTTAGTAATCATTTTACTGTGCGTGTATACACATGTTAAAAATCATGTACATTTTAAATATATACAATATTTTAAAATAAAATTGACTATATAAAAGGAAACTTTATAATCGAGAATTTAAAAAGCAATAGCATGAAAAACAAAATTGGTATACTAGACAAAAATATGAGATATCATCAGGGGAAGACACTATTCAGAAGAAAATTAGTGGAACAAACAGCGCTTCAAGAATTTAAACTTGGTAAGTTATCACTTCAGGCCAAGCTGGGAATGCATCAGAGACTAGTAAGTATTGATATGTAGAAAGAGGAGGGATATTCTAAAAACTAGAATGAAATGAGTAAAAAAAGCATAGAACCAGAAAAATGAAACAGTTATTCAGTAGACATGGTGAGGATCAGAAGTTTTCAGGGATGAGAGACTGGGGTGTAATTCTATAAAGGTAAATTGAGATCAGTTTGGGAAGACCCTTGACTGCCAGACTGAGGGGCCTGACATAAGTATAGATTTTTAAAAATCTTCTTTTAAGGGCACCAGACAGCTGTAGAAGCAAAACACTAAAATTTCAGAGAGCTAGGAGCCCTTCCTCAGTGAGTTGATATGGCCAGCCATTTACTTCTCTGGGAATACTTGTCAAGTCTAGGCCTATGCTGAGGATTGAGCTTGGCATAAGCAGAGAAATTCTAGTAGGGGAAAGAGAAAGCAGTGGAACACTTGGATGTGGGCTGGTAGGACTAACTGAAATCTAGAAGAGCCCCAGATACATATCTGCTTTTCAATGTAAGACATTCACTGAGTGTTTGAAGGGGAGAGGGTATGGTGTGCTGGAAGACTGGGCCAGAAAAATCCCACAGGAATATCCCACAGTCTTATTTGGGAGTAAATGCTTAGGAGAGAGTTCCACCAGAATGAGGGCCTTACTACAAACACACCTCGAGTCTTGTTCTTGAGACATTTGAAACTAGAATAAGACTATGTCTAACTAAAGGTACCACTGAGCACTGATCTAGCTCAGATTTTGGCAAGAATGAAGTGTTCTCCCCCGTATTCAAACATAGGAAAGAGTAAATTGTCTCCTGTTGAAAATAACACTGATTTTAGTTTTTATGATTCTCTTATACACAACATTCAGCACATAGTAAAATGTTATGAGGCCTATGAAGAATCAGGAGATATTTGAAGAGATAATGGTCAAGACTTTTCCAAAATTGAAAGAATCAGCCCACAGATTCAAGAAGCTCAGCAAACTCCAAAATAAACATATAGGAAACCACCCTAAACAACTATTGTCAAACTTCCGAAAACCAAGTAAAGATAAAGTCTTAAAAGTAGCAAGTGAAAAACTGTACATTATCTACAAAAAGAAAAAGTTATACCTGACTTTTAAACAGAATGATACATGACTTTTCAGCAGAAACTATGGAAGTTAAATGATAATGAAATGACACTTTAAAAGTGCTAAAGGTGCGAGAAGGATCTAGAATTTTAAAGCCAGCAAATCTGAGAATTGTATATCTAGTAAAAATAGCCTTGAAAAATTAAAGCAAAGTAAAAACGTTTTCAGATAAAAAAACAAAAAGCTGAGATACCTACTACAAAAAGCATTAAAGGAAATTCTTCAGTTAAAAGAAAACTTCTTCCAGATAGAAGCATGAAATGCAGGAAGGGATGAAGTACATAGAAAGAGCAAATATGTGTGTAAGTATAAACGAATATTGACAACATAAAGTCAAAATTACTATATTATGCTTTTACACAAGTATAAAAGTAAAATATGTTAGAACAGTAGTACAAAAGGCAAGAGGATTTAAATAGAATTAAATTGCTTACAGGTTCTTCCATGCTAGTATTGGTAAAAATATCCGTTTAAGTTCTTCCATGCTAGTATTGGTAAAAATATCCATTTAAATTTGAGCCAGAAAAATCTCATAATAGGTTCAAAAATTCATTTTTATTTTTAAAATATAGAAAGTCAAAATTCTAATACTAAAGTGGAATAATACAAATGCCATTTATTAATGCAAAATAAGGCAGGAAATAAGGGGTATGGGAACAAAGAAGGGAAAAATCAAAAGCAAATAGCAATACAGTCAACTTAAGCCCAGCTAGATCATTACACTAAGTGTAAATGAACAAAATACTGTGATTAAAACTCAAAGATTGATTTTTCACACATTGAAAATATATTATTTTTTAAAATATGCCAATAATTTAGAACTTACTTAAAATGGATAACTTTTTTTGAAAAATACAATTTACCAAAAGTAACCCAAGAAGAAATAAAAAGTCAAAATAGCCCTATATCTGTAAAGGAATTTGAATTTGTAGAATTCAAGGTGTAATTTTAAACCTCACCATAAAGAAATCCAGAATTTTCAGATTCTGTGTAGGATGCAGAATGCCAGAAACACTATGTTCCCTACACAACAATAAGAAAAAGCCAGATAATCTACAAAATCATAAATGTGTATGAATCCTTTAGAAAGCTGAGATCACAGGTTAACCAATTAGCCTGACATTTAGGGAAAAACAACTTCTACCCAGTTGAGAGAGGAGGCAAGCACTGTTTCACCCAAAGCAGGGCATGGAATGAGACTAGTTGTTACACAAGTGTATAAAATAATTCATTATATCTTTAACTAATTGCTAAAGATGAGTATGAGCTACTGTGAGAGTACAGAAGCTCTGAGAACTTCAGACACTAAAGAGGGATTCCAAAACGACTCATAGACACTTCCCTACGGATGTTCACTGTGTGACCATCAGAAAGATTGGGAGAAAGGTGGAGACCACAGAAAGTTTCCTTCATAGTGCAGGCATGGAGAGAAGAATGGTTGTTGTTGCAAAAGGAAAAAAAAAAGCAGGAAGCTCCATTTGGATGCCTCTAACCTACAGAACAAAAAAGGATAAATATCCACTGCAGGAGAGGCATCACTGTGACAGCCCCAATGAATAGGTGAAGATGTATTGCAACTTGATGAAACATAAAGGAAAAACAACAACAAGAAGCAAAATAACACTAAACCTTGAACATGAAGAAAGAACAGGAAACTGTCTTGGGTCCAACAATTAGAGACCTACTACATCAAGTGAAGGGGCAGGTGCACTGAGAGAGCCCTGCTTCTGAGACCTAGGGGCACAGGGCCTGCCTAAGACTGAAACTGGACCAGGACAACAGAGAAACCACCACAAACCCACCTTCCACTTCCCAAACACAATATCCTAAGCTTCAAATACACAAAGCAAAAACTTATAGTACTAACATAAGAAATAAAAAATACGCATTTGTAGTTAGAGACTTCAACATTCTTTTTAAGTAATCTATAGAACATAGACGAGAAATGAATAAGGATATGAAAACCTGAAAAAAACTATCAACGATGTTGTCCAAACTGACATTTGTCAAGCACTTCTGCCAACAGTAACAGAATACACATTCTTTTCAAGTGCACACGAAACCTTCATCCAGATAAACTATATTCAGAGTCATAAAACAAACCTTAACAAATATAAAAGAATTGAAATCATGCAATGTGTGTTTTTGATCATAACAGAATTAAATTAGACATCAATAATAGAAAAAAAGGTGGAAAATACACAAATATTTGGAAGTTAAACAGCAAATTCCTAAATAACTAGTGGTTTTAAGCAAAAGTAACAAAAGAAATTAGAACATATTTTGAATTTAATGAAAATGAAAATATATCAAAATCTGAAAGATGCATCTAAAGTAATGCTTTGAGGAAAATTTATAGCATTTAAGGTTCATATTAGAAAAGAAAGTCTTAAATCATCAGTCTAAACCTTCATTGTATAAAACTAGAAAAATAAGAGCAAATTAAATCCAAAGCAAAGTAAAAGGAAATAAATGAGGATAACAGCAGGAATCAATAAATTTGAAAACAGAAAAACAATAGAGAAAAAAGTGAAACCAAAAATTGGTTCTATTAAAAGATAATAAAGTTAAAGCAAAAGAGAGACGACACTAATTACAAATACCAAGAATGAAAGAGAATAGCACTACAGACCTTATAGATGTTTATTTTACATTGTGACTTCTTTTTTCTTTTTCTTATTTTTGACAGTTTTATCAGTTTGCCATTCATTCCATGTTTGCTTCAAGGAGGAAGAAATTAATATTTAGAAGGTAATATCAACAGTATTTGAAAACTACTTGAAAAGGAGAGACGGAAATGGGGGAGAGAAAGTCAATTAAACAGAATGTTAGCCTGAGATGCCAAATTTATAATAGAAACTTTGTTGATATGTTATTTCTGGGGAATGTGAGTCTGAGTGAGATAATCAATTGGGGCATGCTAGGTTTTCATTTATCTGAGGGACATCCAAATAAAGATGTCTAGTAGGCAGATAAATATGTGGTTTGGTGTTTGAAAGGAGGTCTGAAGTAGAGATTCAAGTTTGGGAGTCGCCAGCATACAGGTAGTATTAAAATCATGGGAGTCGAGTGGTGATAAGTAGATTGAAAAAGATGAGGCCCAGGATGATGTCCCCTGACTTTCTGAAAGTAGTTTCCAATTCGTTGGTACCACAAGACCCCACAGGGAGCATTCCCAAGTACCAGGAAAAAGAACTAGCATAAGCAACTCAAGACTTTTGTCCTCAAAGAAGAACCTAGAACAGCTCACTATATTAAAATGGGGTTGGCGCTATGTATACAAATAGTGCGCAAGTGCATGCAGGCACTTCTTGGACTTAAACCTATTCAGAAGAGAATAAACTTTCTAAATAGATTTTAGTGGCTAGACATAAAAAGTAAGCTGAGGAAACATCTAACGGCAATAATGGAGCTGCCAGATAATGTGGACAGCATTGATTGTTCTCGTTTGTTTTTTTCTTAAGTATCATAAAAAACTAAAAACAGATGGTAAAGATTATGATGTTTTAAAGATATTGCTAGAATGTTATCAATAAATATTTCAGAACAGATAATAAATATTCCACGCATATGAGCATAGGCATATTTAGAGGGAGAAAATCAATTTTCTGCAATTAGCTAGAACTGACATTCATACTATTGTATACTATTACATCCATCTCTCAGTGTCCAAATTCTTGCTTCCATTTTGAAAACCAAGGCTGGTTTGGTGAGGGAGAGAGATTTGCTTCTGTTTACTCTCTTATAATGAAAATCTTTTTTTCTCTTGTGTGGTAGCAAGAATTCTCCCTATATGATTGTGTGGAACTATAATCCTTCAATAACATCTGTGATTCATTTTAGTTAGTGAAAAATAGTGTTTCACTTTTATACTTTACTTTGCAAAGAAGAGAGATTCCCTCATGGTAACTCAAGAAAAAAAGACTCTGGTAAAGCTTCCAAAATTGTGTATCATTTGCTTGTTGCAAAAACTCACTTTTGCACTTATAAAATATTAATATAAAGCAATACAAAGCAATATAGAAGTTACTATTTTCTCGTCAGCAATTTAATCTTGCAAAATGGATTGGCAGCTTTTAGATGCAAGAACAATGTTTTATACCCTTTTGGATCGCTAAAGAACACAGGAAATGGTTCATTACATTGTTGACAGCTAATACTGAAATGCGACAAGTATTTATAAAATTAGAACATACCTTGCCTGCTAGGCGGCTGCAGATGATTCCATTGCTAGATATAAGACAGTCAGTCAGAGTAGTTTTTCCTGTTAAATAAAATAGGGACATCAATTCAAATCCATGTCTTTCTTAAAAGGGGTCATGGATCATACTTATAGATTTAAAATCTGGTCAGAAGAACTGGTTTAGTAAAGATTTTCAATTTACCTATGCTAGGTGACAAAAGACAAAAGAGATTTATTAGACTTTTGAACAGAATATCATCTAGAAGGACACAGATGCTAGCACTCTATATTGCTGTAATCTTATCTCCAACCCTGTGGATCTAATCACCCTCATCTGAAAAGTTGTCAAGCAACTTAAAGCCATTTCAAAAACAAAAAATTCAAGTTCCGGTTTAAAAAACAACATGACATACTACAAAGAAGAATGCTACTCACTAGGTAACTGTGTTCATTTCAAACGCTTTATAGCAAGGCAGGCTTCCCTAACATCACAGAAAACTTTTAAAGGAAAGAAGACTCGCTTCTTAGCAAACACCACTCTCAGCTGCCCACAGCTTCACTCCACTGAGACATACAGAGACACACCTCCCTTATTTATCAAAACAAGCACTTTTAAAAAGGATTCTTACCATGGTCAACGTGAGCCAAAACACAAATATTCCTGATGTTGGCAGTGTTTTTCTGGAGATGAATCATCTTATCCAAACTGTTGAGCACCATGGTTACTTATTTCCTGTGACTAAAAATTAAGTATTAGCCCAGAGGCTAAAGGTCGGGGCAAAAGAAAAAAATAATAAACGCTAGGAGGTGGCAAGGCTTCTCAAACCCCTTAAACTAAGAACCCAGTGAATGTTTATTGATGAGACACACCACCTAGGCCTAAGTCCCGTTCGAGCACTAAAGTCAATATCCTGGCACGATTACACTTAAGGAGTTTGCTCATCCTTCCGGATCCGAAGGCTGCGATGAATCACGCAGCTCGAGGCGGCTGGGTGCACAGTGACACCAGTAACCCTGCCGGTGGAGGAGTACTCGGGTAAACTTCTCCAGGCCAATGACCACGTACAGGAAGGGTTGCATGCAGGAGGGAGAGAAGATGCTGAAGAAGATGCTCCCTTTCTCTCCTCAGTCTTCCCCCAAGTCCCTCATTCTGACATTCTCGCTAGTCCTTGCGCCAGGTCGAATACCCAGCTTTATTCCTGCCCACGGAGCCCGAACAAACTTTTGGGTCACGTGCTTATTATCCAAGCAGGTGCACTGCTGGTCTTTCATTCCTCTCTAAATAAAAAGGAAAAACCTCTACACTACATGCCCTTCATTTCGGCAGGGTCCCGGATTCGTTCTCTGAGAATCGCTGGTCCACACAGACATGTCACCGCCCCGGCCCCAGACTGGAATCGACACTCCGGGGACTACAGCTCCCAGCCAGCGCTCGGCCCCAGCCCCGGTTCCCGCCTCAGAGCCGCAGCTAGCGGGGTCCTCCAAGCACCGCCCAGAGGCTGGCCGAGGAGGATGCCAGTCCCCAGAGCGAGCCCGCACTCACCGGCGGCAGCAACCCCACGAGCCCAGCTTCTCCTCTCGGCTCGGCTCGCAGCCACACCAAGAGCTTCCGAAACGCAGAGATCTCTGCGGGTCCTGCACGCCCGCGCGCCAGGGGGCGGGGCCGGCTGACGCTCGACCTTTCACCCGCGCGCCTCTGGCGCCACCGGAAGCCGGCGCAGGGTCTGTCACCAGGTGTCCCTCTGTTGCCTTGACTACGGCGGGCGCTGTGGGAGTGGAGAAGCCGCAAGTGCTGAGGCGCGGTGGAGGAAGGCATGGGAGCCAAGAGCATGAGGAGCTGGTGTCTTTGTCAGATTTGTACCTGCGGGTAAGAAATGGCTGGTGTAGTGGCGGGCCGGGGCTTGGGAGCCGACTCCTCGGGAACCCTGAGAATGGCCGTCCCCCGCAGATCAAGGGACGAGGACGCAGCGACATCCCCACTTATCTCATAAGCTCCACGAATACTCGCTCTGCACCCGCCGGCTACCTGGGGGTAAAACGTTTCTTCGTAGCCCCTGAGACTCCCAAGCAAGGATGCAAAGTAAATAATATATGTGAAGCAGCGACGGGATATAAGACTGGTGAGTAGTGGCATGTGATCCGACTGGGAGAATGCATTTCCACCCCGTCATCCCTCACCACAAAGATGAGAAAGAACAGTGCTCAAGGCCCTGAGTCTGCAACCCATATCACACTTTCTTTCATCTGCTTTCTGTCCTCCCAGCCAGACCATATTCCCATTCCCGTCCAGGCAGCAGTTCTTTGGGATTCGCCTGACTGAAAAGGCAGTACAGTAGTCCCCACCCTGAAACCTAGAATCCAACTGAGTCCTGCCTAACAACCTTCCATTACCTAGAAACAGTCTTCTCCTTCCTCAGCTTCACTGTTGACCCAGGGATTAGATCATTATTTGCTAAGTAAATATGAACGTGTCAATCCCTTCGTATTTGTAATCCCCTTCAAAGAAAACACCTGCATGTTGATGGAAAGCAGTTTTTTTGATAGTCTCATAATAAACACAGTTCGTAATTAGAAGTAGATTAAAATATCAACAAATTAACTTTGGGTGTATGAATCTGCAGACTGCTGTGCAGGAGACAATTTTTACTTTTTTCCTAATTTACATTCAACGCAAGTTCCTTTCTCATTCAGCTGTTAGGAAATTTGGTCTTCATTATGTTGAGGGCTACCCTTGGAATGGTGTGATTTTACTTTTTCTTTGTTTTTGGTTGTGGTTGTTTTGTTTTTTAAGGGTTTTATTTTTATTTTTTGATAATGCAATAAATACACAAGAGGTGTCATAAAAATCCATAATATTGTAAAATATCTATATTATAAAACACCTTCATAATTCTATCTTCCACAGATAACAAATGTTCTTTAAGACTTGTTTTACATGTGCATTGATTTTTTTTTTTTTTTTTTTTTGAGACAGAGTCTCACTCCATCGCCAGGCTGCAGTGCAGTGGCGTAATCTCAGCTCACTGCAATCTCCGCTTCCCGGGTTCAAACAATTCTTCTGCCTCAGCCTCTCGAGTAGCTGGGATTACAGGCTCATGCCACCACACCCAGTTAATTTTTGTATTTTTAGTAGCTCTCCTGACCTCCTGATCCACCCATCTCGGCCTTCCAAAGTGCTGGGATTACAGGCATGAGCCACTGCGCCTGGCCTGCATCGATTTTATTTTTTTTAAACAAAAAAGAGAATATTCTGAGCATACTATTCTACAATCCAGTTTTTTACTATTTACAATCTCACCATCTTCCAGTGACCATGTAAAGGTCACCCTCATTCTCTTAAATAACTGTATACTATTAGCTTATATGATATATTGGTCAAGGTTCTTAGTTATGGATAACATAACCTACTTTTGTTAGTTTAGGCAAAAAGGAATTTATTAAGGAGTGTATATATATATATATAGTTCATTTGGAAGAACTTAAGAAATCATTTTCAAAATAAGCTTCCAGGAAAAACTTCCAAAAATTTTACCACAGAACAGGACTGACAAGAGGCCACTGCCTCTGCCATAATCGAAAATTGCAACAGAGCTGTAGACTCCAGAATCACTCGTCTCTTCCATGGTCAAGAAGCTGCCAAGTTAGGAAACCAGCTCGCAAATCAAGATGCCACCTAACAACTTCTAACTCCAATCTCTTGTTGCCTCTATTACATTCATGCAAGCAAAATAAATGTTATGCCTTGACTCTCTCCTTATGTAGCTCTGTTCTGAGTCAAAGTGTCATGTGAATACATGTAGCAGGTGAAACCTAATTTGTATGTGGAAACTTTCTGCAAGAGCCTGGGAAATTCCCTATTAGCTTTTCAGCTTCTATAGTGTAACAAGACACTAAATTGTTATGAGACACTTAATTGCTGTGCTTCCACCACATAGGGATAGACCATTATTTATAGATTGTTTCTGTAAACACCATTACAGAGGAAACAGTTTTTGGGGTTTTTTTGTTTTTGTTTTTGTTTTGAGACAGAGTCTTGCTGGGTCGCCCAGGCTGCAGTGCAATGGCGTGATCTTGGCTCACTGCAAGCTCCGCTTCCCAGGTTCACTACATTCCCCTGCCTCAGCCTCCCGAGTAGCTGGGACTAGAGGCACCCGCCAAGCCCGGCTAATTTTTTTTGTACTTTTATTAGAGACAGGGTTTCACCCTGTTAGTTAGGATGATCTCGATCTCCTGACTTTGTGATCTGCCCGCCTCAGCCTCCCAAAGTGCTGGGATTACAGGCGTGAGCCACTGCACCCAGCCCAGTTTTTGGTTTTTCAGTAAAGCCCTAGAATTTAGAAACTGTGAGTTTATTGGAGGTCTCTGATTAAAATGCAATTACAACACAAAATGTTTTTTGAAGTTAATCTTTCCATTGATTTTTTGCACAGGTGACATCATTGTCCACATGGAATCACAAGGATTTATGAAAATTCTGGGGTGTTTTGCCCTACAACTGAATATTTGGAAAAATATCCTATGTATGACAATGTTCTTCCAGCTCAGAGTCTTAAACCCAAGCAAGAAATTCGAGCATGCCGTGGTAAAATGGAAGGAATAACTATATTTAAGTAAATATTTAGTAACTATTTGCTTTACTTATTTTTCTCCCAACTCTTCTGGTGTCAATAAAGTTTTCTAGCTTTTTAAATTACTGTTTAGTTGATTTAAGTTGAACCAATTTGATAGGCAACCGACTAGTTAAATCACAACTTGAAAAAAAAAAAAAACAGAAAAATACGAATTAAGTTAGGTTGACAAAGTGTGAGAAGAAAAAAGGGATATAAAAAGTTCTATTTTTTTTTTTAACTTCCTAAAATATCTCGTATTTATCTACTTTCCACTGTTACCACCACCTAGACCAGGGTGTCTTATCTTTTGGCTTCACTGGGCCACATTGGCAGAATTGTCTTGGGCCGCACGTAAAATACAATAACACCAACCATAGCTGATGAACTAAAAAAAAAAAAAAAATCACAAGAAAATCTCATAATGTTTTAACAAAGTTTATGAATTTGTGTTGGACCTCATTGAAAGCCATCCTGGGCCGCATGCAGCCCATAGGCTGCAGGTTGGACAAGCTTGACCTAGAAGAATGCAGTCACTTTATAATAATATCTGAATCTACTCTAGTTTTTGCAGTTTGATCTGTTTTCAATACGTCAGCCTGCCCAAATGATTTTAAAATGCAAACCAAACCCTATCACTTTTTTGCTTAAAATACTCTTAAACTTTCCCATTGTGTTTAACACAAACTAGAATCCTTATCAAAACCATGTAGAGGCATGGTTTGCTCACTACTTAATTCTCTAATTCATTTTCACTGTAGTGCCTTTTTCACTTTTATGCTCCATCCCATGGGCCATTTTTCATTTCCTTGAAAGTGCCAGGTTTCCCTTATCTCAGAGTCTTCCAAGATACTATTTTCCCTACCTGCAATTTTCCTTCCCTCTCTTAGCTAATGCTCATTCAATCTGTAGATCTCAACTACATTATCACTTGAATAAGCCTTCTCTGACACTTCCTCCAGTTTTCAGATTAGGTAAAATTCTTCTATGTAAGCTCACAAAGCACCTTCCTATTATTTATCGTTAGACTGGTTTCAGTGTTTCATGAAAGCAGGAGCTAAGTCTTTTGTTATCTCAGCATTCTATTTTTAGAAAACTGGTAACAATGCCTACTAGCACATAGTAGGTACCCAATATTTGTTCAGTGAGTGATGAACACAAATCTTCTTAAGCCTATACTTTTCATTTGGACTGACCTTTTTTGATCTGTCTGTATTTTTGTCAGTTAGGTGGATTACATATTATATTTACTCATTATTTTATTTAAACTGTTAATGTATATACTATATTCAAGGTACAATCTTGGTGTTAAGTATAAAAATGTGAATAAGTTTATGAACCCCAAATATCTGAGATAGGTCTCAGTTAATTTAGAACGTTCATTTTGCCAAGGTTGAGGGTGCGTGCTGGTGACACAGCCTCAGGAGGTCCCAATAATAGGTGCCCAAGGTGGTCAGAGCACAGTTTGGTTTTATACGTTTTAGGGAGACACACATCAATCAACATATATGTAAGATGAATATTGGTTCATTCCGGAAAGGCAGGACAACTCGAAGCTGGGAGTGAGCTTGCAGGTCATAGGTAGATAAGAAATAAATGGTTGCATTCTTTTGAGTTTCTGATGAGCTTCTCCAAAGGAAGCAGTCAGATATGCATTTATCTCAGTGAGCAGAGGGATTTGAAGAGAATGGGAGACAGGTTTGCCCTAAGCAGTCCCCAGCTTCACTTTTCCCCTTAGCTTAGTGATTTTGGGGCCCCAAGATTTATCTTCCTTTCACAAGTTGAAGTTCCTGCTTCCTAGTGACTTGTACATCATATTTCTATAATTTAGAGTTTTAAAAATGCTCTGTAACAGCTTTAGATTTTGGTGTTAGCCATTTTCATTTCAGATGCAGCTCATTCTTATATAGCAAAGATACAAACTTTCTTTTTTTATTATTTATTTATTTTTATTATTATAGTTTAAACTTTCAAACTTTTAGTCTAATATTTCTATTTTTAACATTTCAGGCATTCCTTGCAGTAATAATAGTTTGGTGACTCTAGTTACTTGTGTAGGTGTATGGCTCTTCCACAGATGGAAGATTTTACTTAAGTCCTCAGATTTTGGTATGCAGTAGTGCCATCTAGAAGTGTTACAATTGCAGATTCCAGGTCTCCATCTAAAAGAGCCAGTAGATAATAGAGTGGGTCTCAGGAAACTGCATTTTTAACCAGCATTGCTAGTGACTCTGTTGCCACTGATTCAATGCAGTAGGTCAGGAACTGGACTGCTCACTGAGGATGACATGGAACATAAAACAGAGACAATCTTTGCTTTACTGTTGTTTATCGTGTTGTGGGAAAGTCCAAATATGAAAATATCAGATAAATAACTAAGATAATTATGGATTATAATAAGTGAGATGAGGAAATTCAGTAACTGGTTGAGACTGATTAAATGGGAATGGTTGTTCTTTTTTCTTCACTTTATTAATATTTCTTTCTTAATGCCTTAATGGTTCATATTAGAGATTTGAAATAAATTTTACAATATTTGTGTTTATTGAACAAAGATTTTGCTTTTAACCAGTTCTAAATGTAGAAATTGAGAAAATTTAACCTGCCATATCTTTCTTTTAAAAGGCAATTGCTTTTTAATTCTGAATTTCCCCAGTTGACTTACTCAAATAAGCCTTAATAATTGGAAAAAAAAAAAAAGCAAGAAATGTCCGAAAGGTCCAAATATACCAATAAAACTAAAATATTCATTTCTTAAATTGTCATCTCTTCACTTAGTATGACATTGGATCTTTTCTTTATATTTTCACTGGGAAACTAGCAGTATTTCTAAGAGTCATAATCTAGGAGCTTGAAACTCTTGCTTGACTCCCTCATGTTGACTGTGGTGACTATGCAGTAGAAAGTGGATTTATCTGTACAAACAAAGAAGCATTCTGTACCTTTGTATAGTACAGGAAGTGACTGTGTAAAGAGGTGTCTGAACTTGTACAAGATTTTGGATCCCTTATAGCAGTCCTGTTGTAGCTCACTTAAATGACTGCCAGAGTTGGCAGGAAGCCTGCCCTGAAGGAGTAGGATTCTAGACACATCAGATGTTTCAGGATATATCAGATGAATAAGACTGCATTCACCCTCTACTACTACATAGAAAGCAGCTTTGGGTTTGGAGGTATACTTTCTAACACTTAACTAGTCTAACCAGAGAAACTGAGAGTTCTAAGCTTTTGCTTTGCTTTTCCCTTCCTGATTCTCTCACTTCCTGACTTCATTTTAGCCTATTCCCCTCTAGTTAGTATTTGAGAAGAGCAAAGAACAACTGACATGTCTTGGGAGGCAGAGGTATGTGATTTCTACTATTCATTCATTAAATAAAAAATTATTAAGCATTTATTAAGCATCAAGCACTATACTAGACACCTGGGATATAGTGGTGACCAAAAGCAGTCATAATCTCTGTGCTGACAGATGTTGCAACCTATTAGAGATGGCAATCAAAAACATTACTCAAAATAAGTCTAAAATTGCAACAGTGATAAGATCTATGAAGGATAGGCACAGGTACCTTGACATCCAGAACAAGAGTTTGACTTTATCAGGGAAATAAGAAAAATAAGTCAAAACCTGAAGGATGTTAAATTAGCTGGATTAAGAGGCGGAAAGAAATGCATTCCAAGCAGAGAGAGAGAGAGTAGCATGTAGCAGGAAGGAGCAGGGAAAGGAGAAAAGTATCAAAGAGGGCCAGCTGGAGCAGAGAAAGCAAGAGGAAGCATGGTGAGAGCTGAGGCTAGTGAAGGAGACCAGGCAGAGCCTTTAAGCCATGTTCAGTGTCATCTATGTCTTTACAGTAATAAGAAGCCATGAAGGTTTTTCTGCTTTGTTTTTTTGGTAGAGGGTGAAGTTGGGGAGGAAGGAAGTTAAGGAAGAGGCTAGCGAGATAAGGGCAAGAATGACCTGATCAGATTTACATGGGAAAGAATTACTCAGGTTCCATGTGGAGAAAAGATTGGAGGGAGAACTAGAGTGGATGTGGGTAAATGAGTTTTGAAAGTTATTAAAGTGATTCAAATGAGCTGTTGCAAAAACTTTGCATATTATGGTAGTGGCAGATGTGGAGAAAAGTGGTTAGATTTGAGGGAGATTTATGAGGCAAAATTGACGGTAGTTGATGACAGACTAGATAGGGGAGAGAATTGACGTTTGAAGGGTGAGTCCTAGATTTCTGACTATGCATCTGAAGCGATGGTGATGGCATTCACTTAAATAGAGAACAAGCAAAAAGGACCACATTTATTAAGGGGAAATAACGAGTTGATTTGGGACATATTAAGTTTTGAGTTGCCACTGAATATCCAAGAGACCATCATAGATGCTGGTATGGAGCTCAGAGAAGAGGTCTAAGCTGAGATGTAAATTTGAGAGTTTTTTCAATCTAGGTAGTAATCGAAGCTGTGGGAGTAGAAGAGTTATCCTCAGGAGTGAACAGTGGATGAAAAGAAGTATGTGTAGGTAGGTCTAAGTCTTGAGAAATGCTAACATGTATTTAATGACCGAGTAAAGGTAGATGAAGTTGCATAGGAGACTGGCAAGAAATAATCAGGAAGTCAGGAAGAGCAAGTTTCCTAGAAACAGACAGTGTGGACAATAATGTCAATTACTGCTAGAGAGGTCAAGTAAGATGAGGATTAAAAATGTTCGATGAATTTAATCACATGGAAGACATAGTGAACCTTAGAGCTGTATTAGGGAAGTGGCAGTCCTGGAAACCAGATTGAAATGGATTGGAGTGGGTGAGAAAACAGTTAATTAGTCTAAGAAGTTATGTTGTGAATAGAAGAATTCAGTGAGGGGTTTGGGTTCTTTGGAGAACTTACAGACATATGCAACAAATATTGGTTAATACAAGATAGTTTAATCACAAAATGAGTGATGTGCCAATAGAGTCCAGAAGAAAAAAGCAATCCATGAAGTCTTGGGGTAGTAACAGTAGTGGCTGCCATATTGATCTTACTATGTACCAAGCAGTCTTAAAAGTGTGTGTGTATATCCTTAAAAACAACTCTGTGAGATAGAAGATATTATTGTCCCATATTATATATAAAGAAACTGGGGCATAAACAGGTTAATGAAGTTATCCAAGGTCCTGCAGCTAGTAAATGACAGAGCCAGGATTTGGACGTAGGCGGTCTGATCAGTTTAAGTTTGTGTTCTTCTCCATTCCTCAGTTTTTACCTCAGTGTCTGCAGTACTACCTCTGTCACATAATGTTATATAGTGCCCAGGTTGGCTGCATTACCAGCTGGCATCCATCCATGACAAGGAATTCTGGGAGATCCAAAGATGAGGAACATTCACATCTATAATCTGAATGTGATTTATGTCTAAAGACCAGAGTTACTAATCATTTAACAATAAGCGAGAAAACAGCATGAATTCAAAAAGAAGAAAGTATGCCAAAATAGTTTGCTGGAGACTTTAAGTAGGATGAATAAGGACTTTGACAAAGTGGACTCGGGGAATATATTTTTTAAGCTTTTCAGGTTTAGTAAATTTTACCTGAAATTTCCTTCCAGGTTAGAAAAAAAATCAATTACTTGAGGGTAGTGTTTACTGAAGATCCAATTAACTGAGATCTATTGTAATGATGTTTTCAAAACTAGAATTTTTGATATATTTACTTTTCTCAAGATACTTAGTCACTGGATAGGACCTTATGAAAATTCATTTACTTCTTTCAAGTAGTTTATCAACTATTACCATTTTAATATCTTCTCAGACTTTCCAAGTAAAAAAAAAAAGCCTTGACATTTTCCATACTTCATTGAAATAATTAGAAATAAAAGAACTTGCGAGGCTATGTTTCAAATTTATATATTTCAGGTTGGATTATCGTCCTTATGAAATATTTAAACAGCCTCGCCATGTGCCAGAAGAATATAAACCAAAACAAGGGAAGATTGATCTTGGTATTACCTACAAACGGGATTTTAATTCGTACAAAGTGCAGCCTGTGGCAATAGTCCGGCCTTTGGAGAGACAACAAGTTAAAAAAGGAAAGTTGGACACTGTCCCGACTTATAAAGGTAACTTGCCATTTCATAAATGAAGGAGCCAAAAACTAAAATTCACTTCCAGCTTTAACATCTAATATCAAATTATAACTTTGGTGTGCTGCCAAACTTAGCCTCCATGGCTCAGGAAAGAACATTTCTCTCTTTGGCAAAATAGTATTGTATAGTAACAAAAGAAAATAGACCATTTGTCTGATTGAGAGGTAAAAGACCCACATTCCCATCCAAAGTCATCTACTTTATTAGTTTTCGCTGTCTCAAAACATGAAAAAACAAAGGATGCCATTAAACAAGCATTATGTCACATTTGTCACTTCATGTCACCTTTAGTTGGCATTGTTCTTTTCTTCCCATCCTAGAAAAAGTTGAAATGCTTCCGAGAGTATTGGGATCTTTGAGGTCAAATAAATAGCAATGCTTTTCTCCATTCAAGTCCTGAACCAACCTATAAAGCAAAAAAGTTACCAGATGGAGAAGCACAATGTTACTTTTACACTGATAAAGGACAAAATAGAGAATGAAGCTTTCATCTGTAAGCAGGTGATTCCTGATATTGAGCCTCAGAATTAGATAGGCTTATCTACCGCATGATAGACAGTGCCAAATGGGGTCCTGCTCCTCTAAGAATTCTGGCATGGTGGAAGAGTGAGAATACTTTCCCTTTGCAGGCAACTGACTTAGAGGAGTATGAGTTGAGCCATGTATGTTTTTCTTTCCAGAAACCTGTTTTTTTGTTGTGGTGGTTTTTGGGTTTTTTTTGAGACAGAGTCTTGTTCTGTCGCCCAGGCTAGCATGCAATGACACGATCTTGGCCCCCTGCAACCTCCACCTCCTGGGTTAAAGCAATTATCCCACCTTAGCCTCCCAAGTAGCTGGGATTACAGGTGCACACCACCACACCCAGCTAATTTTTTCTATTTTTAGTAGAGATGGTGTTTCACCATGTTGGCCAGGCTAGTCACGAACTCCTGACCTCAAGTGATCCACCCACCTCGACCTCCCAAAGTGCTGGGATCAAAGGCATGAGCCACTGCGCCTGGTCCAAAAACCTGATTTTAAAATACTCCAGTACTTTTGAGGAGTGGGGTCTTTGTTTTTTTAAAATAGGCTTTTTTTTTTTTTTCTTTCAAAATGGAGGCTTACTCTGTTTCCCAGGCTGGAGTACAGTGGTGCAGTCTTGGCTTACTGCAACCTCTTTCTCCTGGGTTCAAGCAATTCTCCTGCCTCAGCCTCCTGAGTAGCTGGGATTACAGGCATCCGCCACCACACCTGGCTAATTTTTGTACTTTTAGTAAAGATAGGGTTTCACCATGTTGGCCAGGCTGGTCTGGAACTCCTGACTTCAAGTGATCCACCCACCTCAGCCTCCCAAAGTGCTGGGATTACAGGTGTGACCACTGCACCTGGCCTAAAAATAGGCTATTTTAGGCTTATTTTGATTTTGATTTATGATAGTAGGTATATTTTTATATCTTTTTATTAATAATGTAATTACATATATAGGATTACATTATTTCCATTGGTTATGTAAAATAGCTGAATGGATATGTCCTAATATAAAACACTTTTGTAAGAGTGATACCATCAATAATCAAAGTAATGATTCATACTTGATTTAGGTAATAGTTAAATGCATACTTTTTCTTTAAATTTCATGCCTACCTGTTCAACAAGTAACTAAAGTGCAGGATATCAGTATACTTTCATCTATAAGCCTACCCATTAGGGAGGTCAAGAAATGTTTTTTCTGTTTTTTAAATCTTTGAGCACATAACATACTACACAAAGAACAAATTGTGAAGACTATGTGAATGCCGAAGAAGTATAATTAAATGTAGCATAGAGCAATTGCTGATATAGATTGATACGCACAGGAGAAAATGTACTGTGTAAAATTTGACATAAAGAATAATTGATGAAGATGAATTTGGTCTTTTTTCATTTGTTTGTTTTTTGAGATGGAATCTTGCTCTGTCACCCAGGCTAGAGTGTAGTAGCACGATCTCGACTCACTGCAACATCTGCTTCCCGGGTTCAAGCAATTCTCCTGCCTCAGCTTCCTGAGTAGCTAGGATTACAGGCACGAGCCACCATGCCCAGCTAATTTTTATATTTTTAGTAGAGACAGAGTTTCACCATGTTGGTCATGCTGGTCTTGAACTCCTCACCTTGCGATTCGCCTGCCTCGGCCCCCCAAAGTGCTGGGATTACAGACATGAGCCACAATATTTGGTCTCTTATACAATCATATTAAGATTTTCTTTTTTTCTACAAGATCCATAAGAAATATACCAGTAATACTGTTGTCCCCTGATGCTGGCAACATGTACACACAACACACGCACACACTTATACCAACACTACTAGCTTTCCATGACCTGAGTTTCCTGTAGATTCCGATACTTCCACTCCTATGGTTATAGTTCAAGGATAACGAATTTTGAGTTCCTCTGACTACTGAACTTTCTCACTACTGAACTTTCTTAGTCAGCAAAGGTGATGTTTTGTATTTCGGGTTTTCAGGCATGAGACAACAAAAACACTAAGAGCCAAGGTTCTACTTCCATACTCTGTATGATTGTACTGCAAGTTTTGTAGATAACCTATTTAAGAACAATTATGCAGCTGAAGAGAAGTCATAGTAGGAAGATACTCTCACTGTCCTCCTTTGGGAGGCAAAGGTGGGTGAATCACAGAGTCAGCAGTTCGAGACCAGCCTGGCCAACATGGTGAAACCCCATCTCTACTAAAAATACAAAAAATTAGCTGGGCGTAATGGTAGGTGCCTGTAATCCCAGCTACTCAGGAGTCTGAGGCAGGAGAATCTCTTGAACCTGGGAGGTGGAATTGCAGTGCACCAAGAACGCACCACTGCACTCCAGCCTGGGCAACAGTGCATTACTCTGTCTCAAAAAAAAAAAAAAAGAAAAGAAAAGTATTTGAAATAAATGAAAATAGAGTCACAACATACCAAAACTTCTGGAATGTGGCAAAAGCAGGGTTAAGAGGAAAGTTTATAGTGCTAAATGCCTATATCAAAAAGATAGAAATAGCTCAAATTAACAACCTAACCTTGCAACTAAAAGTACTAGCGGCATAATAACAAACCAAACCCAAAGCTAACAGAAGAAATAATTACAATCAGAGCAGAATTGAATGAAATGAAGACCCCCAAAACCATTCAAAGGATCAGTGAAGCAAAAAGTTCATTTTTAAAAAGATAAACAAGATGGATAAACCACTAGCTAGATTAACAAAAAAAGACATCCAAATAAGCACAATCAAAAATTAAAAAGTGACATCACAATTGATCCCACAGAAATACAAAAGATGCTCAGAGAATATTATGAACATCTCTGTGTACACAAATTAGAAAGTCTAGAGAAAATGGATAAATTCCTGGAAACACAAATTCCCAAAATTGAACCAGGAAGAAACAAATCCTGAACAGATCAATAATGAGTAAGGAAATTGAATCAGTAAAAAAAAAAAAAAAAAAAAAAAAAAAAAAAAAACCCTGGACCAAATGGGTTCACAGCTGAATTCTACCAGACATAGAAAGAACAGCTGGTACCAACCCTACTGAAAGTACTCCAAAAAATTGAGGATGAGGGACTACTTCCTGGCTCACTCTATGAAGCTAGTATGATCCTGATACCAATATTTGACAGAAACACAAAAAAGAAAACTACAGACCATTGTACCTGAACACAGATGCAAAAATCCTCAGAAAATACTAGCACACCAAATCCAGCAGCACATCAAAAAGTTAATTCACCACAGTCAAGTGGGTTTTATTCCTGGGATGCAAGGATTGTCCCACATTGCAAATCAATAAATGTGATTCACCACATAAACAGAATTAAAAACAAAAATCATATGATCATCTCAGTAGATGCAGAAAAAGCATTTGATAAAATCCAACATCCTTTCATGATAAAAACTCTCAAAAAAAACTAGGCATTAAAGGAACATACCTCAAAATAATAAGAGCCATCTGTGACAGACCCACAGCCAACATCATACTGAATGGACAAAAAACTGGAAGCATTCCCTTCGAGAACTGGAACAAGACAAGGATGTCCACTATTATCACTCATATTTAACATAGTGTTGGAAATGCTAGTGTTGGAAATTATTTCTCTTCACTGACAATGTAATTTATACCTGGGAAACCCTAAAATTTCTACCAAAAGACTCTTAGACCTAATAAATGAATTCAGCAAAGTCTCAGGATAAAAAAATCAATGCACAAAAATCAGTAGCATTTCTATACACCAGTAATCTTCAAGCTGGGAATCAAATCAAGAACATAATCCCATTTACAATAGCCACACACACTCACAGTACCTGGGCATCTAACAAAGGAGGTGAATGATCTCTGTAAGAAGAAGGAAATCATAAACTATACAAATGGAAAAGCATTCTATGATCATGGATAGGAAGATTCAATATCTTTAAAGTGTCATATTACACAAAACAATCTACAAATTACCAATATAATTTCTTTTTTTTTTTTTTTTTTTTTTTTTTTTGCAGAATTGGAGAAAAACTATTCTAAAATTTGTATGGAACCCAAAAAGAGCCTGAATAGCCAAGGCAATCCTAAACAAAAAGAATAAAGCCAGAGGCATTACATCTCCCAAATTCAAACTGTACTATAAAGCTACACTAACCAAAACAGCATGGTACTGGTACAAAAATAGACACATAGCCCAATGGAACAGAATGGAGACTCCTGAAATTAAGCCAGACACCTACAACCACCTGATCGTCAACAAAATTGGCAAAAATAAACAATGGGGAAAGGACTCCCTATTCCATAAATGATGCTGGAAAAACTGGCTAACCATATGCAGAAGGATGAAACTGGACTCCTACCTCTCACTGTATACCAAAATTAACTCAAGATGGAGTAAAGGCTTAAATGTAAGACCCCAAACTATAAAAATCCTAAAAGAAAACCTAGGAAATACTCTTCTAGACATTGCCTTAGGCAAAGAATTTATATT